GCCTCTAAAACCCAAGAAAATATGAGATAAAGTTAACGACTTACCGATAGAGAGTTATTTTGGCCATAAAATAATCATTTGGGGTAAAAAAAAAAAAAAAAGTACGCTATGGAACAAACCGCTTCGTACATATACGTATACATAATATAATAAAGGAAACATATCATTCAATGATCAGTGAAGTAATTTACTATCAAATAAGCATAAAAAATTTTAAAATATCACTGTAAGATTCAGAGGCTAATTTAAAAATAATTTTAAATAAAAAAATTATAATACCTTTACTTTTTTAAAAAAAAACTTGTCAACTAGTGAATAATTTTTAATTAAATATGAATAAATACTTGATTAATTAATTAATGGCTACTTGTTAAAGCATGGTATACACTTATCCTCTGATAAAGTAGTCATTTATTTTAAAAAATGTAAGACATTTTTAACCGAATCTCATCTCTCAATAAAGTAGTTACCTAATTTCAAACTAATCCTATCCTTTTATATTTATTCTCATTAAACACCCTATAATAAATATAAAGTCATTTATCAATAAGGGCACTTAAAAAAAATAATGCTTACACATTAAAAAATTAAAAATGCCTTATATTTTTTAACATTTAACTTTTCAAAAAATGTTTTATATTTTTGAATGGGGGAGCAAATGATTACTTGTTAATTAAAAAAGAAAGGCAAGAGTATTATCGTCTTTTTCCATCAAAAATTATTTTCAAATCAATTTATTAATTCTTTATTAATATTTTCAAAATCTTTTGATTCTTGATTAATATTAAATATATTTAGCAGTCTTTGAATGATATTTTTTTTTATGATAAATATACAACGTTTGATATTAAACAATATTTATTATATTATACTAGATTAAAGCAAGAATTTATATAAATCAGGTTTACAATTTAAGAAATCCTTGGGGATGAAAATGGTGGAGGACCATAGAGTTCGTATCGTAACTCATTATTACATTATACGCCCGCGAATTGCACGAGAATTAATATATGCAAGGGATAATGGAACTTTCTCGTCGAGTTCGTTTTCATTACTGATGGTTTCTTAAATTTAATTTTTATTAATTTAAGTTTTAAATTTATTTTAATTATTAATTTAATCCTTATTATTTGCATAGGTATTAAAATTTATTGACATTAATAACATAATGTTGATGACAATTATATAAATTAATGAAAAGAAATATAATTATTTACGTAAAAAAAAGACTCAAAAACTTAATATATATATATATATATAAAGAAACAAAACGGAGAATAAGTAAAATTGGTATAGGCCAGGTTTATTCGGCTCAGGATTAAAATACTTAAATATATAAAAAGTTTATATGATCAAGCTCTCCCCTAATTCCTTAAGGTTCCCGAATACTCAAATTATTAAATATGTATTATTTTATTTTTATTTATTTCTTTGAACAGATTTTAATTCTTTGTCTTTAAAACTAAGATTTTTCAAGCAACATAACACTATGACTAACCTTTTTTTTTCCTATCCTCACTAAAGTGAGACCAAGCATTATCAAAAGAGTGAAAATGAAAACATATAAAATAATCTATTGTGTTTATTTTTGCTTAATATTTAAAAAAAAATTCAAAACAGACAAAACATTAAAACTTCATTCAAGAGTGTGAAATGTATGAATGAGCAGCCCAGGAAAGGGTTTATCAATGCTAAGTGAAAGTAGAGGTGAATTTTAATTTTATTTTATTAATAATAAAAAAGTTTAGGTATTCAAGCAAAGCTCTTCAGGCTTAACTCAAATTTTATTAGGTTTATTTGAGTAGCCAAAATAAATTCAAAGTTAATAAACTTTTATAAATTCTCAAAACTCAATCCTAAAATTTTTTGAGCCTAACCTGAATTATCAATTCTAAATATGATAAACTGCATTGATAAAATAATAAAATGATTTAAAAACTAGTTTGTTCTCATTTAGTTATAAGTTTTTAGTAAGATTAATGACTCACAGTTCAACTCCAGGTTCAATAGGACTTTAATTTAATATTTAAGGGACCTGATTTATACAAATCATAAAATAATTAATACAAGCCCTAATAAAAATTCAAACAAAACTATCATATACATGTTGACGTGAGACATGGGAAGGACTCTCAAATATCCTTTTTCTTGTTATTTAATATTGACCGGTCCTATTTTTAAAAGTTTATAAAAAAAATTAAGATTATAAATTACATTTAATGAATTTCATTAATACATCTAATATTGTCCAAAAAAATATTTTATAAATTAAATTAGGATAAAAGGAGTATTTAGTTAGATTAGATAAATGATTTGAAATTTTAGGGATCATGAAGCTTTCACTCCTTCAAGTTTGCTTCAATGATGGTCCCTCAAATTTAATTTTGATCAATTTGATTGTTTACATTTTTTTAAATTATTATGTTACTCCTTTAAATTTTAAAACACAATTAATTATTTAATTAATTTAATATGTAAAGCATATTGATAACTTAAGATGTATATGTATCTAAATGAAAATAAATTAGCCCTCAAATTAATTCTCTTATGCTACGTTTTGATATTTTGTTTTTAAAAATATGATTTTTTTCTTACATAAATAGTTATACTTTTTTTATTAATCTATCTAATTACTTTTGATATTCTCTTATTCATGGTAGTAAACTTTAACCGTGCTATTTTTTTTTAAACAATAAATATTAAATTGGTAATTGATAAAAATCTTATAAAAAACATAGATTGAAGACTATAAGTACTAAAGTTTTATTTGGTATGATAGAAGAGCTTTTAATATAATTAGAATCTGATTTTAAAAGTGTTTTTGTATGAGGATGGAATCCTAATTAATTTTAATTAGTATATGTATCTAAAATAAAAAAAAGACCAAATTATCCTTTTTTTTCAAAATTAAAAAGACCCCCTTGTCACAAGTAGATAAAAGAGATGAGGTTAGTAGGGTCCACTGAATGAATTCAAGGGCGCTGAAGCAATTCTATGCCATGTTTTGTAGCATTGAATTGGTAAGATGAAAATGAAATCAGAGATAAAATCCTAATTTAAGCATGATTGGTATGTAAGAGTTTCAATTCCTAAGAATCTTAATTCCACCAAAAATGTTAGAATCCAATTCCATCATATTGATCATGAAATTGCTTCATTCCCCTGAATTCAATTTGTAGACCCCACTATCCTCATCTTTTTTGTCCATTTATAACAAGGTAGGCCTTTTTAATTTTTTTTTAAAAAGAGCAATTTAGTTTTTTCTTATTTTAAGTACATATACAAATTCATATTATATTAGAATTCCATCTTCATACCAAACACATATTTAAAACTTAATTCTATTCTGATTCTGATTTCAATTCTGATTCCTATTCTGATTCTATTAAAAATTCCTCCATCATATCAAACGAGGCCTTAGGGTCATTATGATGGAATTGAATTCTAACATTTTTGGTAAAATTAGGATTCTTGAGAATTGCAACTCCTACATAACAAACATGTTTAAATTATAATTCCCTCTCTATTTCATTTTCACATTACCAATTTAATCCTACCAAATATGGCCTAAGGTGCTACCTTGTATCTACCCCTAATTCCATTGCTTCTCATATCAACTTTGATGGCTTAGATGCATGTCACGCTTCCGTTCGAATTTTTGTACTTTTTAGTGAAAAAGTGATATATAATAATTCGTATAAATTTTGATTTCGAATCCGATTCTATTAAAAACTCTTCTATCATACCAAAAGAGACCCTAGGGTCTTTATGATGGAATTGTATTATAGCATTTTTGGTAAAATTAAAATTCTTGAGAATTGCAACTCCTACATAACAAACATGCTTAAATTATAATTCCCCTTCTATTCCATTTTCACCTTATTAATTCAGTACTATCAAACATGGCTTAAGATACTGCCTTGTATTTATCCTTGATTCCATTGCTTCTCGTATCAACTTTGATGACTTAGATGTGTGTCACACTTCCATTAGAATGTTTTTACTTTTTAAGGAAAAAGTGATATATAAGAATTCAAATATTTTTAGAACAATAAAAAAAATAGAAAAATAATAATAATTTTTTTAATTATATAAATGATAATTTGATCCATTAGAATACTATAATTTTAATGAAATCCTTGAAAAATTATGTGTCAATAAATTTTAAATTAAAAAAATTATTTTATCTTTATTAAAAATAACAAACCCTAATAATAACTTCTATTTAAAGAATAACAATTATTATTATGTAAATAGTAAGAGTTAAACAAAAAATCATGGCTTGTCAAATATAATTTTAATTATTAAAAAATAAATTTTTAAAATAATAAATTCTATTTACAATTTTTATTTTAAAAATAATAATTTTATTTAAAAAATTATAAAAATTGAATGAGAAATTACAACTTATTAAAAAATAAAATAATATTTTTAATTTAAAATTTATTAACATGAAAATTTTAATAAAATTATAATATTTTATAAAATTAAATTGTTAAAAATTTTATTATATATTTTTTTAAATTTGTCCACTTTAATTTAATTATTGAGCATGCTAGTGCTTCTTAATTAAGACATTGTACCCTATGACCATGGCTAAACTTAGGTTGTCATTGTCCTTTAAAATCCTTGGCAAAGAATCTGAGGTGCTCTTGAATTTTAGCTCCGTGGCGTCTAGTATTGCATTTGTCAGTGGCAGATCAGATCCCAGCCGTTCATTGGTCGCACACGCGATCACCAATCATCATTAAACGACCGGGCATGTTTATGTTCCTGTTCATACACCGATATCTACGACTACGATGAATCGCCGCTCCACAATTCCAACATGAACATGAACACTCACTTCAAGCCTAAACTCGCAATCCTCAATTCCACATTCACGCGTCTTTCCAGACTGGCATCCAACCATTTTGTTTTCGCGGGCCCCACAATACCCCACCAATTCGAATTATCTTCAAGAAATTCCAAAACTGCCCTTAACCTTTTAGGGTACCAAAATGCCTTCTCGCGCTTTCTCTCTCTCTTGCTCTTATCTCTTCGCAACGCACTCCACCATGCTACCGACAATCCGTTGCCACACTGTCACTATTACTGTCTTCCTCGCCGCCGTCGTGGTTTTCCCTGCGTCTCACGGCACCGGAGAGCTTCCGGTGTTCAGGGAGGCACCAGCATTCCGCAATGGAAGGGAGTGTCTCAGAACGGCATGGTCTGCTCTCGACGATCGAGCTCACATTAATCCGTCCGTGAAACACATTGCGATGACTCTAGATGCCACTTATCTCCGTGGTTCCATCGCCGGCGTATTCTCCGTTCTCCAGCACTCATCTTGCCCCGAGAATGTGGTATTCCACTTCATCGCCACGACGCGCCGTCGTTCGGAGCTTCGCCGGGTCATCACTTCGACGTTCCCGTACCTCAAGTTCCATCTGTACCACTTCGATTCAAACCTTGTCAAGGGGAAGATCTCCTACTCCATTCGCCGAGCTCTCGATCAGCCTCTCAATTACGCGAGGATGTATCTCGCTGATCTACTACCGGCCGGAGTTCGCCGGATAATCTACTTCGATTCGGATCTGATCGTGGTGGATGACGTGGCAAAGCTCTGGAACATCGATTTGGGGACGCGTGTACTTGGCGCGCCTGAGTATTGTCACGCTAACCTCACCAATTACTTCACTCCCAAGTTCTGGTCCAATCCGAGCTATGCGGCGTCGTTTCGAGGACGGAAGCCATGCTATTTCAACACCGGCGTCATGGTGATCGATCTGTGGAAATGGAGGGAAGGAAAGTACACGGAGAAGCTGGAGAACTGGATGAAGATTCAGAAGCGGTACAGGATCTACGAGCTGGGTTCTCTGCCACCGTTCTTACTGGTGTTTGCCGGCGAAGTCGAGAGGGTGGAGCACCGGTGGAACCAACACGGGCTGGGTGGGGACAATCTGGAAGGTTTGTGCAGAGATCTTCATCCCGGACCGGTGAGCCTGCTCCACTGGAGCGGGAAGGGGAAGCCATGGCTGAGGCTTGACTCGAAGAGGCCGTGCCCGTTGGATAGCTTGTGGGCTCCCTACGATCTGTTCCGTCACCCTCGGTTGTTCTCTGACAGCTAGCCGATGACAACGACGTTCACCACGCGCCACCGCTGCCACCGACGAGTCACTTAACCTTTTGTATGTTGTTCACTTGCGAGTTTGATCAGTGGACAGGACACTGTGGACTGTGAGGGGAGCGAAGCTGTGAGCTGCGAGGCGCGGAGAGTGAAAAGACGAGAGAGGACACGTAGGTGCGAAGAAACTGAAAAGAAGGTTGCGGAGACAAAACGGTGACGTAAGATGGTATGTACAGTGTACCAATAGACGCAAATATGTGCCGCTATATTCTTGTGATCTTGTCTGCTTCCAGGAGCTCTGGGAATGACCGAAAAATAATTATACAATATAATTGTTTAATTTATTCTTGATCATTTTGAAAATTAAGTGATTATATTGTATGACTATTTCATTTTGAACATTTAGTGATTATATTGTATGATTGTTTTATCTTATGGTACATATGTCACTGTACGAAGGAGTTTTGGTCTTGGAAATTTATCAGAAAATTGATAAGGAGATCTTATCATAGTATAGCTTATAGTTCACAAAAGAAAAAAAAAATCTTAAATTTTGAGAGGCTTAGCTCGGAGATGGAGAGATCACAGTAGAGAAGTTGACTGTGATAAAGTCAACAACTTAAAATATTCACTTCAATCTTATATACAAGTTGCTTTTAGAGTTTAACTACTTCACTAAAATGAAAAAAATAATTAAATTATTAATGTTGCTTTAAAAAATTTCAATTTATTCAATTAAATATATTATCTTTAAAAGTATTTATTTTCTCGTTTATAACATTTTACTATTTTTAGAGCAAATTGTGAAAGAATAAAATTTAAAAAAGTAATTAATAATTAATTTTTTAACACGAAATAACTTGTAAAAATAGCTATACATTAAATACCTTTGAGTACATATGAATCTGGTGGATGGTGATTAAATAGCTATACCTACTTGATGTAATCTTGATTCTAATGCAACGAAGCGTCGTATTTCATTTTTTTTTAAAAGAAAAACTCAGTTTAGGAAATCTGTTTTTAATGAAAGTAATCTATTACTTGTTGGAAAAGACCTCAGTTTAAGGAGAACCATTCAGTTTAGCAAAAGCAACCAACCAAGCATTCTGGATTAGGTCTTTCAAACTGTTAGGTTATTTAAATGTGAGTGAATTTAAGTAAATATAGAAAGTCTCATATCGCATAAAATTGAGCTTAATAATTAATATAAAATAAAAAAAAGATCTATAAATTTAAGCCTTGAGATTTTGAGTTAAGATGTGATATCCTTTCATTAATCTTGCTCATCTCTCCTCTTCCTTCATTCTTAAGTAGTTGCTCCTCATTTCTAACAAGTGATATTAGAGCCCAATTTTATCTGAGATCTGTAAGCCTGTTATCTCTCACACGCTTGAAGTTCAAAATGGGATCGACTTTATTTTAATAGGGACTTGTATGTGTTACACCTTTTGAAACTTGAACTGGCCTTAAAAAAATGAGAACTTGGTGTTTAGAGTGTCTATGAAGAGTTTGTGGACTCACACTTGAGGGAGAGATTGTTAGATTGTCCAAGTGTGAGTAGATTTAAGCAAATATGAAAAATTCTATATTAAATAAGGTTGAGTTTAATAGTTAATATAAAACAAAGAGAAATGATTTATAAATTTAATTTTTAAAATTTTAAATGTTAAGATTTAGCGTCATTTCGCTAATCTTGTTTGTCTGTTCCCTCTATCAGTTTTTGGTCAATCACTCCCTATTTTTAACACAAACTGACATCCAAATACACATCTAATCATAATATATTGGCACATACAATGACCCCCTTAATTTAATAAAAGTAATCTATTAAATGGGACCTTTATGAAAGCTTTGGTAGAAAACAGAAAAGGACTGTACCAAACAAGTACCTTGGGATGTGTTATTTGGATTGCCTGCTGGGGTATTTGGTGCTTCGAATGTCAAAAGGCCTAACTACAGTAGCAATCATCAACATGCTTGAGCCTCGCGTTATTTTACAACAAAATCATTTTATTAACATCATATGATATAACTTTATAATATTTTCTGAAACATAAATACATATATTTTTCACATCAAAATACGCTGTAGTATTTCACAAACTCATAATTACAGACAACAAGCATGTATGAGAATTTAAATTTATAATCACCTTAAATCTTAGTTTTACTAGATAAAGAGTACCTATATTAACTAAATAGAGCCTTCAACAAGCCCAAGTACACCAACTAGTGATCATCAATCTTCATTTCAACATATCAATAATCATTAATTACCAATTAACATTAATTTTCTCTAAATTAAATTTTTAAAATGTTGTCATGGCAACCTAAATAAGCTTGTAGCTTGAGAGTGTTAAAGTCAATTTGGTTATATGAACGTTTTTTACAAATTTCTCTTGCTTGAATTACCAACTCTGGAGGTGGATGATGAAACGAGTATATTATACTGACCAGCCTTTGTCATCTCTTTTGATTAATAAATCAATTCGTCTTTTAAAAAAAGTTTATCACATTGACATATGGTGTAATGACAGTAGTTAAACCAATTTTTTTTTTTATTACCTATAGGTATAGTCAGGCACCAGAATTTTTTGCAATGAGAATTTAAATTTCGGTCTGCTGACCTAACCAGTTGCTGGTCAAACCAAAGTTGAAACAGGAATTTTTCCAGCCTAATAAAGCAATGCATCTCATGCTACAAATGTTGTCCTCAAAGAAGAAAGCGGGCCCAAAAAAAAAAAACAATGTGCAAACGAGTTTGGATAAGAGACCATATACAGTCGGTCATAATATGCCCAGCCCAAATCTATATCTTTACGTGCAACGCGTGGTGGATATTAATCCTCAAGCCAATTCTAAAAGTTCCAAATCCTCTCCGTCCGCATGAATACCAGAAATAACCGCCAAAAATAGTTTAAAGAATCATGCGAATAATAAATAATAAAATAAAACAAAAATGTGATCTTGTGGCCGAAATTAGAAGCAGAGTCTCACTGGAACTCCTCCTTGCTCTATTCTCACACCACCGCAAACCAAGTCTTTGGCATTTCTTTCTTTGAAACTGAAATGGCCACCGTTGCTGCCGCTCGAGGAATAGGTGTGGGAGTGACGAAGCTCCAAAGACCCAACCACTCCAACCACAACAAGAAGTCGCTCTTTTTGGGTCAAAAACTTCGAAATAAACCCTCCGTTACAGAATCCCATTGCGGTGGAGGAATCACAACACCGAACCCTAAATCGTTCGTGGCCTGCGCATTAGGAGGCGAATGGCTTGATTCGATTCACCACTTGTTTGTGGGCGTCGGGGTTGGGCTTCCTTGCACGGTCATGGAGTGCGGCGATATAATCTACAGAAGCACTCTTCCGAAGTCGAATGGCTTGACGATTACAGCTCCTGGGGTGGTTTTGGCTCTGGGTGCTGTGTCCTACCTCTGGGCTACGCCTGGTGTGGCCCCTGGTTTCTATGACATGTTTGTTCTTGCCTTTGTTGAAAGATTGTTCAGACCTACTTATAAAAGGGTCAGTGAATTGAAGATGAGTTTGCAATGGTCAAACTCAATGATTCTTTTCAGTGAGCTTTATGTTTTAATTGGAGAACTTGAAGGCACTTTTTAGGAAACTGTTTTTTTTTAATGGAAAAAAAAAAAAAAAAAACCGAGCCACATTTCAGGAACTTTATTTGAATCTGGACACAGTATTGTTTCTGGGGTTGATTTTAATATTTAGGTCAGTTTAGACTGTCTAATTTCAATGGGAGCTATGTTGTCCCACTATTTTATTTTTTTGTAAGAGGAATTTAATTCTTCTAATATTAATTTAAACAATACTACCTTTCTAATTATTAATTAAGACTGTTAAAAAGTAATAATCTTGATAATTTGCATAATATATAATTCACATGTCTATTGATTAGAGGTGTGATATTGATCTCATTGAAGTTAATGAAGTTGTTTCAACATAGATTAGAAGTACAAGTGCTGATTTTGATGTTGACTTAGTTGTTCTCTTGAGTAAATTAGAGAGATTAAACTGCAATTTAGCCTAACAGTTCCTTGAAACAGGATGACTTTGTCCTAGGGAAGAAGTTGGGTGAGGGATCGTTTGGAGTAGTTTACAGGGTTTCATCGACCAAGAAGCCCTCTTCAAAGGTATTACACTTTCCTTGGAGAAAATTTTAAAGCAAATGCTACATATTGGTTTAATTAACCACTCACCTGTTGTTAAGCGGTTAAGGTTTCTCTTGTGATTATTACGTTACCATTAGTTCATCACTTTAGAGTTTTCCTATTTTTCATTTGCAATGTCTTGGACTGGTCCGGTTCTAGAATGTTGACTGACGTATTTTAGTTCTCTCTGGAAGGAAGGTGACTTGGTCTTGAAGAAGGCTACTGAATATGGTGCAGTAGAAATTTGGATGAATGAGCGTGTTCGAAGAGCTTGTGCAAATAGCTGTGCTGATTATGTTTATGGTTTCCTTGAGGTGTTGCTCTTATAAGACTACTACTTCTACCATAAGAATTGAGGGTATTACTATTGTATCGTTTATGAACAGATCAAAGATATTCTCACAGCCATCCTTTTGCACTTTTAGTTTTGTTCTTGTAACCGGAACTTTTCTCACAAAATTTTTGCAGAATTCTGGGAAGAAGGGTGGTGAATACTGGCTTATATGGAAGTTTGAAGGGGATGCTACTCTGGCAGACCTAATGCAGAGCAAAGAGTTTCCATATAATGTTGGTTGTCTCTCTTATCAGTATATTACACTTGATTAGTTTTTACCTTTTAAGGCTTACTTTTCTACCAGAATTTGTATAACTAGTCATAGTCATAAAATGAATAAAAAAGAAGCACTTCTTGTCTGCTGGCAACTGTAAGGGGAGGAATCCGTCCATTTTCAGTCTTTCATCAATGAATAACCATTATATCTTGAATTCTCCAATAACAGCCTTAGTGATGGCCACTAAAAAATTTCAGGTTGAAACAATGATTCTGGGCAAGGTCCAGGACTTGCCTAAGGGATTGGAGAGAGAAAATAGAATACTTCAAACAATTATGGGGCAGATCTTGTTTGCATTGGATGGTCTTCACTCAACTGGTATCGTGCATAGGGATATTAAGCCCCAGAATATTATTTTCTCTGAAGGTAAATACTAATATATTATAAATTCTTCAAGTATATGTCATAACAAATTCTTCAAAATTTTTGTCTACTACATTTAAGAGAATTTGAGTCTACATACAAGTCCAAATTCTTGTAGCACATGTAAAGATTTGTACAATCAAAAGAATAGCCCTAATCTGGTGAAGGTCTAACTTTCTTTAAACCATGGGATCAGGATCTCGTACATTCAAGATTATTGATCTTGGTGCTGCAGCAGATTTGCGGGTTGGCATCAACTATATTCCTAACGAGTTTCTGTTGGATCCAAGGTA